GACGACCGACCAGTGCGTTGAGATCCACAGCAAGGACAACAATGTCGGATTTACAAGCTCTGCTCAAGAGCTGATGTAGTTCACGATGGAAATCCTCCTTGACGGAGTTGGAACTGCAGTCAGTTGGAGTGTAAGCTGAGAGCACAAACAAGTTGCGTCTCTCCTCACCACATCTGTTTATCTTGCATGATGCCCGAAGTCGAACTGCGCATAGTCGGCTATTAATCGGGAACCAATCCAACAGTGCTGTCTTGACTTTGCTACTTAGCGCTACACTGACACCAACCAAGCCTTCCGCAGCTGCTTCTGCGTCGCCAGATAGACGTAAGTGAAATATGGCTTCGTGGTCGATGGGAGATCTCAATTCAATCATAGTACTGGGATATTGTTAGCGCGTTTCGGGAAGACAACAAACATCGATGGCCAGGGATTCCGGGGTGCGCGCAAAATCAGCTTGCTGCCCGATCTGCATGAGTGTACGTACAACATAGAAGCATGCCAGAGGGAACGAAGACCGAGACCGAAGGAGTGCGACTGGGCAAGCTCTCTGGGTATCGACGAAACCATCCTGAGTAGAATCATAGAAACAAGGATCATCTGATAACGGATAATACTGATTGGGAACAAATAACAGGTGGCGTGTGAAGGTGAGTGACTAGCAGGAACAAAAGCAGCTGAGAACAATATTACAGTTGAACAGTCCATGGTGGACTGCTAAGGAACTTTAAGATGGCGAATGAGCTACCAGGCTGTCGACGGTCTTCGTATTCAGCAGCTGGTTGAATGTTCCAATAAATGCATCAATCGCTCCTTTGCCTTGCGCGCCAGGTCTTCAAGACCAAAGGTTAGAGGTGTGGTCCCTTAAGTTAACCATCTTCCTCGGCCTGGGCAACAGGGGACCACTCTACCGACAGAATGCATTAGCATAAGCATCGTTTCCCATGAGTGCCTATTTCCCTATTTTTGTTGTCATTACCCATGTACTGTGTTGAATATATATATATATATATATATATATCCGTGAAGCGTTACGATAACAGCACTGTACCAGCCAACGTCATGGTCCAAATGATTATAGAGGATTCCGTCATAGCTGTCACAACAGGATTGGATTATCGCAGGCGCAAGCGACCGGAATGCTTGCACAGGAGGCGGACGAGATGAGTTCATTGATGTCAGTGGTGGTGAAGTGAAGTAAAATTCAAGGTTCAAGGGTAAATCGTGCTTTCGGAATGCAACTCGTTGATGTACTCCCAGAATGAAGTGTTTGTAATGAGAATGACTGACGAAGATCGTTCCAACGAGTCAATCTACTTAGCTACCCCTTATAGCCATTCTGTTGATTTCACTAGATGATAGGCTGGCACAAGAGCCAATGAGAGGTTACCCAACTATCCACCTACGAAAGAGACATAGCGTCAACTTGCCGGGGGTTGAGAGTGGAGCATGACGTAACGCAGCAACAAGCAAGTGATTGTGTTCTTGATCCAACAATACTTTTGGGGTTATAGATCATGTGTTTTGAGGCAACCGGGTGGCCCAGAACTGAGGAACAACACTCAGAAGCAACGTCGGGCGGCATAATGAACCTGCATCACAACGCAATCCATCCTTGTATGCCTAATTACAAATATATGTTCGCACGCCAGCCACACGAAATGCAATAACTTGGACGAGCCTAAACCAGCTCGGTAGTGAAGAGATAGCTGGATAAATGAGCCGCGTGGAGTGAATGCTAGTCAGAGAATCGCACACACACACACACAACTGCGAGTCGAAATGTATTAGGCGCCAGTGTGATGAATGCATTGCCACAATCGGTTCGCGAACCGGTTGGATCCGACTGATCCATTGTTCTGTCCAGTGAAGAACTTACATTGTAACGCATTTGCATCATACAGACAAATGCATGGTAAACAGCTTCTCCCGCCACGTGTGATCGGATATGAAGGATCATAGAAGGTATTTAGCGGTAGTTAGAGAAGAAGACTGGTGACGAAGCGCGGAGAGGAAAGCAATGGTGAACGCCGCAGTTCGACTATGTTCGGGGCTAGGTTGAGTGGAAACGTCCCAAATGAGGATAATGATGGGTCTTGTGCCGTTAGGTGATACATAACAACCAGTATACCTGCCATCTTTGCACTGAAATGTTGATCTACCACAAGAATGATATTTTGTCACGACAGGCATTTGCGGCATGCGGGACAAGGTCCTTCGTATCGTCGCTTAGGTGAGCCAGGCAGTAAAAAGGGTGGTCACGCGCCAAGGGTTAGGTATGCGAGACAGCGTGTCAAACGCTGGTATGCTGAGTAAAGAATGGCAGCGTGACATAATTTGCAAAGCCCGGGTGATCGGTAAACTAGGACATAACACGGTGGTCGTCGCCAGCTCAATCCAGTGGAACGGCTATGATCCGGGCAGCGAGGTGCGACAGGTCTAATTGCCCCGAGTTACATCACCAGAATAAAAATGAATATAAACTGCGAAAAATGGTTTCACGTAAACAGAATAGAAAGAAAATAGGATCAAAAATGCGCAAAGCTGATCGGGATGGAAAATTAACAGCTAGATGCAAGAAGGAGCGCCAATGACTACGCGAATGCACCAAGTCTGACAGGGTCTCCAATCATTGGTGTGGATCATTCCAAGGCCCACGAACCAACCTGATTAAGTCTCTGTCAATTTTTTCGTGCCACGTCACCGACTGGCCACTCCGCGGTTTCGCCCAACTCGGTGCACCAACGGTGTATAAAGCACACCTAGGAATACGGTCAACTGGATTATGGAGGAAATGACCTAGCCAATATAAGCGGTTGAGATCGAGTAAACACCCGAGTGCGGCCTCAGAAGGCTTCTCGCCAAAAACCAACTGTCAGACCTCAACACTGCTTACCCGATGTTCCGACCAGACGTGAGCAATACTACGCGAGCAGCGGTGGTCAAACACGGCCAATCGTTCAACGTCTTCAAAGCGAAATGGCCAGATCTCTGACCCATACAGTAAGACCGGTCTTACCGCAGCCTTATACACTCTATCTTTCACTAGTAGGCTGATTTCCCGCCGTTTCCATAAATGGCTGAGCCGCTGGATAGATACACGTACTTTGCTGATATGCGAATTAATCTTCTGAGTGGTGTGACTATGATAGATGACACATCTACCAAGTTAAGTGAAACGATATACCACTTCCAGCGGTTGTTCGCAGACAGCTACAGCTAAAGCAGACCCCATGGCGAAATCTGAAGTACTACGCACCAGAAGTGCTTGCAAAGTCACTGCGTGAGACCCAAGAAGAGCTATGTCGTCCGCATACTTCAGGTCTGTCAGTTGGTCACCTGGCAGAACTTCCACTCCGGTAGAGTCTGAAAGAACCGAGTCACTTATGGTTAGTTTGACCACAAAGCTGAAAGAGAACCGGGATACAGAACAGCTTTCGCGAACACCACTCGTTGCGGGAAACTCAGAAAACAGCTTCTCGTAGACTCTTGCAAGATCTCGGAAGTTACAATACATAGTTCAGAATGGAAAGGAGTTTAGCTGGTAGGCTCTTCGTGGATAGACAGCGCCACAAGCTAGTATGGTCAACAAAGTCGAAGGCTCGAAATAATTTGGAATATTTGTAGCTCGGGAGGCTTACTCAGTTGTTGTGGAGTTCTCCGAGCTGGGCAAGTTGATTGTAAACGCTTCGCCACCATTCGAGGTGGCATCTTCAGTGCGGGATTGATAGCAATTAAGTAGCAGTAGCTGGTAGAGAGCAAACCCAATAATGGATGCAATCGTTTGCAATCAAGTTGCCCAGGTCGGAGAACTCCACAACAACAGAGTCGAAGGCAATTATCAGTTCAAGAGAAATCACCACTGTGAAGTAAAAAGGTAAGGTATCAGCAGTACGCCGGTACGCAGTACCGAAGTTTCGATGTCACGTAACCACTAACAGTTACGTGTGGGCTAAGGATATTGCAAGGGTCGCCCGGTCCCCTACGCAGGCACGAACCTGCGCCATCGGATTACAAAGCAAGCTTGTCATCCTTTGGACTAGGGGTCGGTCACCTGTAGATGTGTCTCTGTTCTAAAAGTTGATCAAGTACGCGGTCAAAGCAACTAAGACCAGAGTGAGATGACACAGCCGTCTGTCTTCTGATTGGGAATGAATAAAGATAAAGCAAAGCGAAAGCTTGCCTGGCTCTACAGTGATGCGCCTCTCACGAAGAACATTAAGTCAACGAAGAACGATACGTATGAGAAGTTTAGAAACAATGGAAACGAGGTTAATGTGTCGATGATTTTCGCAAGGACATTAGACGAACTAATGTGAAATAGGACCACCGGTTGCAGAGGAGTTGTATGTATCGATAGTGTCAGTTGCGAGGTAAGTAGCAGTCTCTTGCTCAATAGATGGGAACAAGAGTTGCAAGAAGAAGAAGGAGTCTTGGCGATGGAGTCGGATGCCCATCCAGAGAGAAAGGTGGCGATCGCCTAGTCCCATGGGAAGTGTGAAAGTCTAGTAAGGTCTTATCCACGGCTACTGTACGTTGAGAGGGAAGAGTTGTAAACGGACAAGGTGCAACAGAGTGAATTAATCGGCTGCAACTCGGCATCAGCTTATCGAAAAATACTACCGCCATCATTCCCAACGTGTGCACACGCAAACGGAGAAATTCAAAGCCACAAGTATGAATCAAGAAAGGACCAGAAGTGCATGACTTTAAACGCGACAAACAGTAGAAACGCTACCGCCTGTTCGCAGCTCGGCGAACAAATGAGCAACTAAAAAAAATTAATAATGTGTCAGCTGTACGCCGTAACGGCGCTTCGCTGCCGCGCGACCACCATCAGTCGCGCTCGGGCTGAGTATACCGCGAGGACGCCCACCCCTACGCGGATTCCAACCGGTGACCTTATGGTTGCAAAGCAAACGTGCAGACCACTCGGCCACCGGCCGACAAAATGAGCAACTGGACTATCATAGGAAGTTGAGGGTTGACGTGTTGATTTGGTGCTATCGAGGAAGGCGCCAGATGCGAAACCACGGCACTGAGGAATTGGTGCAAAAGTGCATCACGGTAGAATGATGTTTCAACATCGAAAAAGAATTAGGGAACAACACAGTAGAGGACATGGGAGACAAGAGAAAACGAGAACGATGCAGAAATCTGAGACGTACCTTCTGTTTGGGATTCTTCAAACGTGAAAAATAACGTTCCAACTGAAAAGCGAGAAATTAGATGAGGTCACAAACAGAGTTGAGGGGAATGATATACAAAATTAAAAAATGGTCTGTAACGGGGCGCATCTTTAGTCATTTGCAACATTACAAATATTAATTAGTATTCAGTTTTGTAATATATATATACATATATGAACTGATAGTTTGGAGATAATAAAAAATGCCGTTAAATAAAAGAAGGGAGAAGCCTTAACAATGAGAAAATGCACAGGGAGGCAATCCGAGGGAAATGTGGAGCTGTGGGGACAATGCAATGAGTAGTAGGTTCAGCAATGTTAGATTATCTCTGTCAATAACCCGAAGAACGGTCACACAGATTAAGCGACGGACGGCGTTCGCCTACAGCGGAGCAGAACGTAGAGAGAAAGAAACGAGGCACGGACAGAACGCTGTCTGGGATCTTACACTTAGGTGATAGACTTCGATCCGAGCACCGAAGAGCGGCAGACGAGGTTGCAACGGCGCACAATTGCAGGAGTATAACGTAACGAAGGTGGGGAAAATACAAGTACCGCACGCAAAGAAAAGGTGAATGGTTAAAAACATGAATTCCAGTTGCAGGGTGGAGCGGTTAACAGGAAGATGTATGAAGTCACTAATGAGACCCATGTCGGACAAAATCCAACTGAACCAAGCTTCTTGGACGTTTTCTCAGCGCTATCTGCCAACTTCTCATGTAGCGGAAGTGTTAAGATACAGCTTTGCTGAGATGAGGTACCATGAGCAGCATGCGATGGTTGGATCAGCAACAAAACACACCATGAGGTTAGACGCAGAGAGGCTTAAAGTGCAGATCAGTGACACGGAAGGAAAGTGCACTTCATCAATCATGTCGCGATACAGAGGCGAAGGTGGCAGAAAGTGGAATAGCAGAAAAGATCGCATGCGAGCACACATATGCAAAATGAGGATAACAAACACAAAAAAATGTCTAAAAGGAAGGGGGAGAACAAACGCTGGAATCTGCGGATAGAATAACCGACAATAGGGAGGGGATCGAAAGAATTTATGATCGCATCCCATCTGACCACTGAAATCATCGAGCTCGTAACCTCCAGCCAAGAAGGAAGTGCATAGTGACAAGACAAAAATTGAACATCGACATCCTCGTGTCTCCTTATTTTTGCATGACTGGCCATGCCAACGTACCCTAAATGGAGTAGCATGAACGTTCAATACATGTCGGGATAAACAAAAGGCAATGACAAGTGGCAGATAATCATCATCATCATTATCAATACACGTTAGCTGAGGAAGGTGAGAAAAACATCTCAGCTTATGTGCCGCAATACAAAAAATACAATGAAAACATTGTACCATAAAAAATATCAAAAGCAAGTAGTATAAGGTTAAATATCATATTGCGCATTTCGTATGACATCGGGATTGGAGGGGGAATCTAAAGGGGAGGGGGATGGACAAAGAAGCTAACAACACAAACGCAATTGGGGCCAGTTCTCCGCCTTAGCAGCAAGCGTGTAAAACCAAACGTGTTCATCAAACTTAGGACTCCAGCCAGATAGTCGGGATGCACTAACCGACGTCAGCTCCGAAGTGAGGGTTTGCATTCCTCTCGACCAAGTCATCGCTTGGCCTACTCTCCGCCTCTTCACCGCACCCCCCACCCGCAAACTATGTACGTCGCGGGAGCCGATGGACTGGAATGCGCAGACACGTGGCCCAGTCATCGAAGCCTGGTGTGTTACAGAATGGTACTGAGCACTTCACTCGCACTTCCTGCACCAAATACGTGACGCCGCAAACGTTCATTGCTCAAGTGATGCCCCCACCAGACATGAGCTAAGCTGCGAAGGCAGCGATTATCGAACGTGACGAACCGCTTTATATTTGTCGACTTAATGGGCCACGTTTCACAACCGTATAACAAAACTGAACGGACGGCGGCACCGGAAACTCTGCCCTCCACGGCGAGAACGATATCGCGTGTGCGCCACAGGTGGCGGAGATTGGCAAAAGCACCTCGAACTTTTGCTATACGGTTATTAACCTCATCTTCGATTCCACGGGCACTAATAAAGCTGTCCAAGTACTTGGATTCCTGAACGACTTCAAGCTGATTCCAAACAAAGTTAAACACAGGGGGTGGGTCTCTGTCAATCTTGGAGGACTTTGCATTTCGATGAAGCAAACAACAGCCCAAAATGATTGACAGCCAGTGCTGATTTGTCGAGTGCAGCCTGGCACGTTTGGGAGCTGTCACAGATTAGGGCAATATTGTCCACATACTCCAAGTCAAGAAGTCGTCCACCTTCTAGGTCGTGTCCTGTGAACGTTGTTTCCGCGACTTCGTCAGTGGCGAAGTTAACAAGGAAAGGTGACAGCGGGCAACCTTGTCTCACATCGCTGAAGATAATGAAGGGCGGCGACAGTTTGCCGTAAACCCTCACTCCGCCTGAACTATGCGCGTACAGCGCTCTGGTAATGTTTACGTATTTATCAGTCACGTTTCCTCAGCAGACAGCCCCAAAGGGCACATCGGTCCACCGAATCAAAAGTGCCTTTGATGTCGAGAAACACGATAACGGTGGGTCGCCAATAAAAATGGTGGTGCTCTAACAATTGGCGCAAGGTGAAGATGTGGTTGATGCAGCCCTGAACTCGAGGGAACCGGGCTTGCTCTTCACGGATCTGACTTTCACGGGTGCCAGTAAGTCTGTGGAGAACAACAGACGCAAACAATTTAGAAGCAATTGTGATCAGACTGATTCCTCTATGATTGCCGCATTACAAACGGGAGCCCCTCTTGAAAATTAGGACTATGACGGAGCGGCTCCAGTCTGTCGGGACAAGTTCCTGCTCCCAAAGTTTCCCTAGCAACTCGTGTAAATCATCTACAAGAGGGCTGGGGGAATTATACCTGTCCCTGCGGCCTCATTCAATGTCAACAGTCTGATCTCACGTTCGACTTTTGCGCGGGGCAGATAAAGTGGCAAGTGTGCATGGTACGGGATTAAAAGACAATTAACTGTGAGGTCGGATAAAACAGTGGAGAATGGGCGCGCATTGTGGGCCTATCTAATAAGATGAGCAGTTTATATACCATCAATTTGATAAGTTGCTTGATGCTTTTACCGCACAGCGACCGGTGGCCGAGAGGATTACAGGCTTGTCAGGTAATCTAGAGGTTGCCGGTTCGAGTCTGCATAGGTGGGGCGACTTCACGGTACACTCAGCAGACGCGTCACTGTTGGTAGTCGTGTAACCATGAAATTAGCGTTTCAATAGGTCCTTAGTTTAATAAGGAGTACCTCGTGGTTCACTCTGTCAAACGCCTTACTAAAGTCCATGTACACCACGTCAACATCCTTCCGTTCGTTAAGAGCTCGTACCCACTGGTGGTTTGCGTACATCAAGTTGGTGATGCAAGATCGTCCTTTCGTGAAGCCGTGTTGCGCTGCCGTTAATACGTCCATCGATTCAAAGAACGACAGCAGATACTTTTCCCAACCTTCTCAAAAAACTTTGAATAATCTCGAAGTCAAACAGACCGGTCTACAGTTCTCTACTTTATTCGGATCATCACCCACGGGAAGCGGCTTCACTATCGAGCATTTCTAGTCGTTGGGGACAGACCGTTCAGAGAGTGATTTGTTGAATAGCTTTGTCACGGCTGGTGAGATGACATTCGATAGGGACTTGAGTACTAGTGGGTGAAATCCGTCTGGTCCGCAGGGGAGGTGGCTTTGCGCCATCGAGGTTGAGGAGTAGTTGATACACTCCGACTGCATCACATTGTAGGCTATCGAGCAAGACTGGCGTAATCTGTGCCAGTATAAGAACTGCCGCCGGTTTACTGGAAAATACGGCGAAGTGTGTAGCAAAGGCGTCCGCGCGCTCTGCGCTTGAAATGAGCGTCTGTCCGTTCAAGCTCTCTAAGACCGTTAGGTCGCCTCCAGGTTTCAGTTGACCTTTCAAGTAGGCAAATGTTTTTTGAATGCAGCTGTGGCCGAGGATGTTAGCTTCTCTTCGAACTGCCGGCGTTACTTGATCATTGCGGCGTTACATAAGCTACGCTGTTCCTTGTACACCGTGTAATCTTCATCACAACCCGAACTGATGTATCTATCCAAAAGTTTACGACGCCGTCGCAGCAACTGTCTATATTCCGTAGCAAACCAATGCGGTTGGACAGGTGCGATTTTTGAATACTTCAGGGGAACGAACCGAGTACACAGCGAGTTAAGCTTCCCCTTCATTAATGACCAACGGGCCTCAAGCGACGCACCCTGTGGTAGTGTCCAATCAGTCTGACTTGCGACTCGGACGAGCTTGTTAAAGTCCGTCTTCCAATAGTTGTATGTCGGCATCCGTTGGTTGTAATACGGTAACGACAGTTCTAAGTTTGTCACAATAGAGCAGTGGTCACTGTTTGCCAGAGGTCTGAGGACTCTGATCTCGTTCAGCTTCTGCTCGCAGCTTGTAAACATTAGGTCCAGACAAGATGCAGTGTGTGGAGTTACGTGCGTCGATTGGATGACATGTTGCGTTGTCCCGATTTCAGTAGTCATTTCAGCGAATTGAGCCTCAACGTCGCCTTGACCGGGAAGAAGCCGGATGCCTGGCCAGAATATTTTAGGTAAATTTAGATCCCGCATCAGTAAGAACTGAGGGCGACTCACGTGCTTCTGTATATGTGGTAGGCAATCGCAACAACGGTTTAACGGACTACGGTAGATAGCGCCCACTATTAGTTCTGCGCGTCTGAGGCGGATTGTGCACCACAATTGCTCGCAGAAGTTATCTTCGCTCCGATAGGTGATGGTAAGTTTGCCTGATAGTGACGATTTTATGTACAAAAGAACGCCACCGTGAGCTTTTGATTTTCGGTAGCTCCGAAAACAAGAGTATCCTGGCAACGCGAGTTCTTGGGGTATGATGTCGGAGTTCAGCCAAGTCACTGCAAGTCCTGAAACGTCCGGTCGCTCAGAGAGAATGAAGCGGTACAGTTCGTCAAATTT